ATAAAGTACAATACAAAATTTACTATACTATTTTAAACTGAGATTGGAAGGAAAAATGGAAGGAAATTTAGGATTTTGGGAAGGAAATTTTGCGAAAAAAAAGGACAAAAACGAGAAATTTTGCTTTGCCAAAGTGGAAGCACTGGCACAAACAAGTGCACAAACAAGTGCGCAAACAAGTGCACAAACAAGTGCACAAACAAGTGCACAAACAACTTCTATATATGGAACCAACTTCCTTGTATGGAGTTGTTTACGCAAACGTTCAACTAAGTGTTGCAAGTGGTTTGTAATACAAAACCAGAAACAAACTGAAAATTCTGCTGAGCAAAAAGTTTAAAAGTTATTCGTGCCTGTTACCTCAGCCGGTAGTTCTTAACGGAGCTTATAAGATGCACGAAATTTACGACGCGACGTGACGAAAAACTGTAATTATTCCCACAGTTTCACTGCACGGATAAAAATTATAATTATGGCCTCCAGTTGGTTAACAAAGTCGGAGACAAATGACTTTAATAAGTGAAACAAATTAAAACTGGATTCCAAACATTAGCAACGCCAATGGTTTTTATGCCACGTCCGCGTGGTAGATTTGGTGCATCTTTAATGAGGCCCACACAGACCAGACGCGAATTTTCAGTTTTCAAAAACAAATAGAGCTGACAGCGGAAAAAAATTTACAAGATATGCAGACCAAACAGCTAAAATTACTTAAGTGGTTCCGAATATTTGAAAAACATTGGAAAATATTAAAGTTAAATGTTATCGGAAAACTGAAAATTCGCGTCGCGTTGCCGAATCGCGTCCGGTCTGTATGGGGGAAACTTTCTGAGCTAACCGCCTCGCGTGCATGGCAGCTAGCTCAGCAAGTTTTCCTTGTTTGCGCCTCTGCGGATAGTTCTCGTGAGGATTAGGCCGCCTCTCAATGCCTTGAGGAAAATAATATCTATCGTGGTTGAACTGTATGTTGTCCATTAGGTTTACCAACGTGTACGGTGAAAATTCATGTAACTGAGCCACAGCCATTAAGAGGAGATCTTAATCTGTGGCTGAGCTAGCCGCCACGAGAGGCTTTTAGCTCGGCCGCCGAGTGTGCGGCAGACTTTGCCTCATGCAACATTTTCTCGCGTATCAATAAACATGTTTAATATTAAAGCAGCCTATAATTTGAACAGAAAAAAAGACTTAGACATACATACTTAGACACATTTTCTGCTCGTAGATCTAAAGGGTCCACCACTGCTAGAATGATGTCTAACACGTAGCCAATGACATTACCACAGCCATCGCCAACATATCCACCAACTTTCAAAGAGAAATTTGTGACCTCTTCAAATCCTCCCACTTTCTCGAAACCCAATGCGTTCCCCTCACTATTTAAAACCAACTTATTTGGATCAACTTGCATCTGATCCGAAAGATCAAGCGAGGAAAGCCGGTCTGACATGGTTATTTGGTGTAAAAAAACTTTGAATGATACCTAGCTCACGAAACAAATATAAACACTGAACAGATCTAGTGGCAATGAACTTATGAAAAAACGTGCTCCCAAATTTATATTAAATCTAAAAGTACCAGGATACAGGGTTCAATTATTACTGGATCTCGTATTGCTTGCGTCATTCAGATATTGGATGACAGAAGATGACAGTAGGTGACACTATTTAGTAAATTGGCCTTTCTCAAGATGACGAATATCCGCCAATTTTTTTTTTTGGGGGGGGCATCAAATTTCATTATCCAATGCAGACAATTAAAACAATGTAGCAATTTTTCAAAATAAGCTAACCATTTACAAAGCAAATTTACCATCATTCGTCAAAAGAAAAATAGACTTATCTCGCAAACCTCGGCTGAAAACCACCCAAAAATAGCGGCGTGAGAAAGGCTAATTGAGTCAATTTTACTAATTAGGGGCGAACCATCAGAATTCATCCATTTTTGTAGTCTAGCTGTAGAGAACGAGTGCATATGCAGGGACCGTGGAACCTGTTTAAAAATGTGTGTGTGTGAGATACAACCGGAGCTATTCCACACATGCAGGATTTCTCCAGTATTTTTTATTATCCACCGAAAAATGGGGGCCGTGCCCCTTCCCCCCCTCCCCGCACCTTTGTTTCATGATCACGGTTCCTGAGATGTCTAGTTAAACCACACAAAGCGTGTCCGAAAGGCAGTCGCATGTAAGTCTGTGTCAAAACGACATCACAGTTTTTCCTACGACGTCACAATTGCGATAATTTAATGTGGCACGAGAGGAAAGATGGACTAATTTTTGATAGCTTGTTTCATTTTTGACAGCTTGTTTCAGGAGGAACCGTCACAGTCGTCATACACCGATTAGGCCCCAACCCGCCCTTAAGAAACGTCACAGGCATAGCCCTTGAGGCATTATTTATCCTACAGACTTTAAGTGTATGTAGCTGTGTATCAGCGCTTTGATGAGAATCCTTATCTTAATAATCGGCATACAAATAAACAAAGACAAAATTGATATGTGACTTTTCTATAAACTGAAACTATATACAAGATAACTTATATACAGTATGGCGAACGTTGCCGTTTCATTCACTGTCAAAGTGTTTTTTGAGTTTTCGTAGCTCTTTTTCGATTTTCGCGACAGACCAACGGTTAAGTGGAAGAACGATGCCTAAATTACGTAGGTTCGAAATTGTCAATAAAAACATTTCATTGACATTTTCAGCATTCCATGCCATATCATTCCTTTGGACATTTCTAAAATGTAAGATAATTGCTGACAAAAAACATATCTCAAGAAAGTTCATTCGAAACGCTTGATTTGTGCTGTCGGTAGACGTCAATTTTTTTGGTGTTTTCTGTAATACATGTTTTGTTTTTTCTTTAGATGTTTTCCTCTTTGGACTGTTTGTAGTGAATACGTACTGCTTGCAAATTTTACCACCGCAGAGACCAGAACATTTACAACTTCTACTACAGCCACCCCACTCACGCAAACAACGACATCTATTACCGTTGCGATATCTTCGTTTAGGTGCGGACTTCTTGGAATCTTGACCGCAACGACAAGTACTTCGTTTCGATTTCTTTAGGTCGGACGCTAAAAATTGTAATTGAGTTAATAAAAATACTGAATAAAAGAATAATGCGATGTAAAAAAGTAACATCAATGACAATGGTTAGGACGTATAAAAAACATGGATAAATCTTGATGGAATGGAATTATGGAATCAATCATTATTGTCTAGAACATTTTGTCGCAAAAAAATGATATAACAATTAAGGACGTAATTGCCGGTTCCTAATAACAGCCAGGGAAGTCTAAGGTTTACCAAACTATATCGAAATTTTCCTTTTGTACCCAGCCCCTTCAACACGGTTTATATTCAGTTTTGGAAGAATCATTGGTCCTGAAGAAAAAAAGATTTGTGCATGGAGCCCCCATTCATTCATCTTATGCCCACGTGCTTGGCTTGCAACATACAAGACAAACAATTACCTTTTGCGCTTGGCTGTTTTTCTGCATGTGTTTCTGTTAAAATGTAATTTATATTCGATTCTTCTTTCACTGCTGAAGAAAAAGAAAGTAGTTTTGGAATTGCAAACAAATATACAATTAATCTAGACCACTTATATAATAATGATTTACAAGTGTAAACCTACATTTTTCTATCGAAACTGCAGCATCGTAATGTCCAACACCTAAGGAATTATAAGCCAAGAAAAGTGGTTCACTATAAAGTACAGTCTCTTCTGGGCATACACTAATAAGTGGAGTGTGCGGCTCGGACGTGACTATAATAATGGGCATCTGTAGAACATTGGCCATCGCAATCGGCATCAAATCGCCGAGGTCACTACCAAAATAGCCAGAAACTTCGAAATTAACAGTTTCCGAGTGATAATTATAATTTTCTGGCAAGAAATTCCTGTAGCTATCTTCCCTATTACCACGCCACTCTCTCACCACAAGCATTCTCAAAACGTTTGCTATGTCTGCAACCGGCATGCTCCTTGATATTCCAATGCTGTTTAAATGGTGTAACAATGCATTAGGTATCTGAGATGACGACAACAACAAAGACAAATGAAAACTGACGGCAGAGAAAAAACAATTTCCATCTCCAGGGATAGACACATGTTCTAATCCAAAGGCTGTCAAATGTCCGTGGAGAGTTTTGTCAACAAAACTTGCGTGTTCGTGTTCATTGTGCAATTTGTGAGCACTATTAGTTACACTACTTAACTTTTTAAATGCAAGAGTGCCGATGCCAATGGAATTTGGAAGATTGGTTTTAGAAAGAAACCGAGCGTAACCTAGATCCTCCATACCCCTAAAAATTTCAAATAAGCTTATGCCATCCAACGCAACACGCAACGCAGTTTCATCCTTTTGTCTGTCACTTGTTGAATAATCGTGGTCTTCGAATGTATCCTTGCAACATTCCATTGATGATGAAATAACTGTTTTTATTTTGTTTATATCTTCTGATTTCAATTGTTGCAATGAAGCTATAACATTGTCACCGTCATTGGTTAAACCTAGTACTGCAGATTCAGAGTTTTTAAAGCAGATGCCTTTTTCAACGCCAAAACCTTGGATAAAATCATTATATGGAGGCGGGTTAATCTGTGGACAACACAGTTCCAAGCCTGGATTGTTATTGTTATGTCTAAAAAACATTCTGCTGCACCTTACGTACGCCATTTCCAAGCCGATCTTATTCGAATGCAAAATGTAATTTAACTCGCGATGCAGGCGTTCGTTTCGTCCCGTCGAGCAACGTGGCGGTATTCCAGAGAGACAGCCTTTTTCAATGTGGATCCTCAAATTTCCTATAGCCTTTTTGGCATTTTCGTTAATCACGGAAATTCCGTTCCATTTCAAACCAGTCCATTTTTTTTCGAAACTATCAAGATTTTTACCGATGGTAATTGGATCAGGAGTACACTTTTCTCGAGTCACACCCAAGTCTGACGGGTCCCGAAATATCATCCCATATTCTTTTGCAATTCCACTTTTAACTCGAACTTCTCTTGCTAAGGCACCAGTAAACCGTTGAACTGCATGAAACAAATCGAGTTTCACCGGAACCTCTGGCAATACTGAAGCAAACATGCCCCTCCATTTGCAACAATTATCTATAATAATTCCTTCAATATTTACCTCCAGAGACTGAAAGCGTCGTTGCAAATCGGTAAAAATGTCGGATACCTCCCTAAATGATTCGCCACGAGTGAATCGCCAGTGAAGGACATTGCCATTGTCTCCTAGTACGCAAAATAAGGAATTAAATAGCCGAACCCAGGTACCATCACTAACTTGAACAAAACCAATATTTGCTACACTTTTGAAGGTATGGTCACAGGAGATCCACGAGGAAGTGCGACCAGCCATATTTGTATGGAATTTCGATAAAAATAGCATAGAATACGAAACAAAAACACTCCTAATTAATTTTTCGTGAGGAAATGGATAAGTATCTTGCGAAAAGAGTGGGAAGGTAGCTGCAGATTCTTTCTCACCTCTCCGACAATCATCCTCGTATCGTAATCGTAACCGCCAGTACGCCTGCTCGTATTGCTCCCGAACGATATCTTCGATGCCATGAAAACTTATCCCATGATCCACAAGGGCCGTTATTTGAGAAAGAAACTCAATCGAAAATCCAGCACGGTTCGTCAAATAGAAAATACTGTAATGCGAAGAAGGTAGGCGTGAAAGTATCGATGGATGATGAGAAGGAACTTGGTGACCATGAGGGCAAACATACACAGCAGAAACTAATAAAATACAACAACTTGAGTCATATATTAAGCGCGGTTCATAACGACAATTCGAGGATCCATCTGTCCATAAACCTGCATGTTTTAGATCGTGTTCCTGTTGATTTTCAGCACAAAATGGACATTGTAAATTCCCTAATACTGAACGAAAACTGCGCAGAACATCCCAAATAATAATGCTTGGAGTGGTGTAATGTTCGATTGTAACACTGTCAGCTGGTAAAGCAGACGGCCATTCTCGACGAATGGCTACTCGGCTGTCATCCTTAAGGAAACAGTTGATGGCTTCATTAATTCTTTGTTGCGTGTATTTCGATACAGGAAAGGTTTTACAGTTGTCCAGTAATAGACAAAATAGAACAATTGTAAGAAACGCCATGAAAAAACAAGAAAAAAGTCGATCCAAAGAATAAACTTTCGAACAATAACGACTTTTGAACAACGTGTTTTCTACGTACTGACGCATAAAAATTACCCGGATATATTGCTCAATTTTCATTGGTGCTCCATCTTTTAAATTACTTACGTCATACGTTTCTCACATCGGTAGATGACAATAGATGACGGTAGATGACACTATTGACGGTAGATGACTGTAGATCACACTAGATGAAAGTAGATGACACTATTGACGGTAGATGACAGTAGATCACACCAGACGACAGTAGATGATACTATATGACGGTAGATGACGGTAGGTGACACTCTATAATGGTACATGACATTAAATGACGGTAGATGACACTAGATGACGGTAGATGACACTAGATGACACTAGATGACGGTAGATTACACTAGATGACGGTAGATTACACTAGATGACGGTAGATGACACTAGATGACGGTAGATGACGGTAGATGACACTAGATGACGGTAGATGACGGTAGATGACGGTAGATTACAGTAGATGACAGTAGATGACGGTAGATGACACTAGATGACGGTAGATGACACTAGATGACGGTTGATGACAGTAGATGACACTAGATGACGGTAGATGAC